TTTAAGTAATGTTTTTCAGAAGATTGTTTCTAGAAATGTGAGAACTTATTTTTCAATCAATTTTTTTACTGCGATAAAAATATATTTATTTTTATTGAATATTTTAAAGTGGGATAACAAAAATTTATAGTAAATATATTACATTACTTTTTAATTCAACAAAATTTGTATACATATTTGAAAGAATAGTTTTGTCATATATCATGAAAATTTGAGTCATTAGGAATTTGTGATTAGTACGAAAAAATTGTATCATACCAACCACTAGCTAAATATTTTTAAAAATATTTTTTTTTATTTTTATTTGTGATATTTTATGTATACGCTAACGTTTTTCGTTTTTTTATTAAAAAGTTATAATTAAAATATTTTTACTTTTACTTCTTTTTTCCCTTCCTTCCCCAAATTAAACATTTGCAAGGAAAAAAAATTGAATTCTAATTTGCATGAAAAAAAAAAACGTTGTAAAGAACCTAATTTTCTTATTTACTTTACTCGAAATTACTTGAAAATGTCACATATATTAACTTTTAAACCCAATGTAAATACTAAATTGAAAATAATTAAACTCTCAGATATCTTAATAAAGAAATTAAATATTCACAAGTCATAAAAAATCCGCTTGCTGAAACAGGTTTGAAAAGTAATAATGGATAATAATATTTCAATTATGAGATCAATTAGAATGTTCAAAAAATCTAATAAAATAACTTTGCTAAAGTTAAAAAAAAAAACAATAGAACTGACTTCACTCTCTCATTATTAAGGATAGAATTTACAAAGCAGAACTCACAAGGCATGATATAAAGTACTGTATCAGAGATTAGAAGTGAACATGAAAAGTACTGTGTTCTGTCTTCCCTACATCTGAAGCAGAAAAATAACCTTAACCTTTTGTTTGAAATGTCTACACTGGTTTGATTTGGAGGACAAGGAATGTTGTTTCATATATCTTTATTCATGCTGACATTCTGTGTGATTGTATATGAAAATGGCCGGCAAGTAACAACCTCTGCACAAACTGAACAAACTTTTTAGGAATAATATCCATTCTCACTTATCACGTATCTTTCTGGACGGCAAAAGGGGAGCTTAAGCTTCGGGATTTGGACCACATGTTCTCCTTTTTTTTCCTCTAACTCTAATATTCTAATTAATCCTACTTTCTAACTTTCGTAGCTACTTCAAGACAAACTACGGAACCTTCCAAGAATTAATATGTCACTCTGCCTTAGCCTAGCCATGTGCATCGTTTTTAAGGAATATCTAATTTGGTCTTTTATATTATAATTTCGCCTTTTAAAATAAAACAATATCTAATATCTAAACTGTATATTAAATAGTCGTATCGTTTAGAAGTAGACAAGTTTCAAAGTCTCCTGATTAATGTATAGCTTTTAATTTTTCTGATGAAACCATCAAGAATAACACGGTATAGTCCAAAAAATTCAGAAACCTGCAGGAATTGCACTTATTAGGCCTCGTTATAAATCTGCATTCATTACTTATTTCAAAACTCTTAGAGCAAGTAAGCCTTCTTTGGGCCTCTCGTTTGGGGCAAGTGGCCTTCTTCCCATTTTGTATGGATGACCATATAAACGAACAAGGAAAAATCTTAAAGCAAGTTAATGCATAAAAACCAGAATACAACATCAAGCAATATCAGGAATGTGTTTTCTGAAATATATAAAAGAATTACAACATCTTTTGGAACCGTGTTGTCTTACTCTTGCATATGATCCTCACATATTCTTGTGTTAAAGAAATGAGCTGAAAGTAATTCCTGTTACAACTTCACTTATCAATTGTATCGTGAAGTTTTTGCATTTAAAGCTTTCATAGTCCAACAACTAGTGCTAACAAAACGAGTCATCCAACATAAATTGATCCGGTTGATCATGGATTGGTCACTTAGTAGGTCAATCTAATCCGGCTTATTTATTAGTAAATAAGACAAATTCGAACCTGAGTCGACACATCACAGGTTGGTGGGTTAAACATGTTGGCTCACTCAATTATAATTTTTTAAAATAAAATTAAAATTAAAATTATAAACTTTTTGTAATTGAAATCTAAATAAATTTCACTCATGTTAAACTCAAAGACATGAGGTTTCTTTTTTGGTATACAGTCACAATTACTCAATGAGTGGAGAGAGTATTTTGTAGGGTATGAAGATAATAAATTAATAAAATAAAATTAGGTGGGTTGGTAAGCCAATCCACCTTACTAAGAATTTCAACCCCGGATGAGCTGGATTTAAATGAGCCATATTAAAAATTGACTCACATAAAAAAATACATTTTTCAAATCCAACCCGACCCGAACATGTGATGGGTCGGATTGACTCGCGAATTATAACTCATTTTGACAGTTCTACTGACAACTTTAAATAAGTTACATTGTTTAAAATTAATTGTCACATCTAATAAAAGAGCAGGAAAAAAATCAGACCAAATATACATTACAGCCATATATAGCTTATAACTTCTTTTTTTTCATTTTTATCTTTGCAAATTCATTTAAAATCTCTTATCACATTTTTTTTTCATTTAAAAAATATTTTTAGTTAAATTATTAGAGGTACTCCCTACATCATCCCACATTACTCCTTACACCACTACATTTTTTTAAAATTCCAAAACTATCCTTTATATTTCAAAAAATTCTATACTCCCACTTCTTTTCTTCAACAGATTTCGAAATTTGTTAAAGAAAAAATTCTTTAACGAATTTCAAAATTCGTTGAAGAAATTTTTCTTCAACGGATATTGAAATCTGTTAAGAAATTTTTCAAAAACAGATTTTGAAATCTATTTAAGAAATTTTCAAAAATTTTAACAGATTTCGAAATTGGTAAAAACTATATTTTGGAAATATGGTGGTGCAAAGAGTAATGTGAGGTGATGTAGAGAGTAATCCTCAAATTATTATCCTCAATTGTCTCACTTTTGCTTCGGCCCATACACTTTGACCCAATTTCATGAAATTGTCACTTTTACATCTTATTGACATTTTTATTCACAATCTTCTATGACAGAATGAATATTTTGGAATGTAAATCTAAATTTTGATTATTATTTTTTCCTGAAAGGAAAATGGGGCAAAGATATTTGTAAGGAGAAAAATTGCTCCTTCAATTGAAAGAAATGTCCACTAAATGGACTTTCAAACAGCCATTGCGTATTGGGCCTTGGATCTGTTAAATTTAAAATTCTAACTTCAAACTAATATGAATTTAATATATCCTATTTTGATTAATTTTGGATATGCTTCATATACGTTGCACTATAGTACGATATTAAAATATATATATATATATATATATATTATATATATATATTAGCTTAGTATATATATATATATATATATATTAAATAATTTAAATAAAAATTAGAATTTGTTCTTATTTTAAATGTTAATATATTATGATTTTTAAACTTTAAATATAAATAAATATAATCTCTCTAACCTAATTTAATTTGTTTATATATATATATATATTAATAGTATTTTATAATAACATTTAAAAGGTATTAAATAGTATAAACAATTTAAATATGAGTCTAAGACATTTGGCATATAATTTTTTTTTAACATATTTAACAAAAAAAAAAGAAGTTATAATTTGGATATGATATTTACCAACCTTAACTTCGAAATGATTTTTAACGTATTTGGATATTTGTACATATTAATGATATTTCTTTAACTTTTTTTCAATTTTCCTCGTAGATTTATCCGATTCTATTTTTTAAACAATTCAATGCTTTAAAATAAGTTGGATATGATTTTTACCAACATGTTATTTTACATGTAAATTTTTAATATAATTAGTTTAAAAATTATATTTATTTATTTTTAAAGTTTAAAGATTAAAATATATTATAATTTGGAATATTAGAATTCTAATTTTAACTCAAAGTTTAAATATTAAAAACATATTTAATATTCTTTAAAACAATTTCATACTTTAAAATAAGTTGGATCTGATCTTTATCATCATTGTAAATAACAACTAATATCTTCTATAAAACCAGATTCCCAACGTTAATATTGCTTTTCATTATAATTTCACTGTTTTCTTTCAAAACTTTAAAGCCTTAAAAAAGGAGTGGAACAATAATAATTAAATGAATTCACTTAACGACAACAACAATAACTCATAACTCAGCTATTAATTTCACATATTTAATGATATTAAATATGATATAAACATTAATTATGAAATATAAAACTTTTCTGTAATATTAATTAAATGAATATTTAACTTTAAATATAGTTAATCCTGTCTCTTTAAATACAAGACAAAACTTAAAAGATTATTCTTTATATTTTTTCTGTTAGGTTTAGAGTGTGGTTGATAATACCTATAAGTTAGAGAATAACTTATTTCATTAGCTTATAAAAACTAATAACTTTGACAATACAAAAGTATTTATTAGAGCAGATTATACATTTAAAAGTTTTTATAAGTTATAAGTTCTTTTAATTTCATTATTAGAGATAAATTTTAAATCTCATTCAATTTTAGTCTGTAACTAATTTATAAGTAACTTATAAAGTAAATTTGTATTTTTATATATTTTGAATTAATTTATAATTGATATGGAAGTTTTAACACGTCTTTCTCACATCGAAATATATGTATCTTGTATATAAAATTAAATATTAATGAATAATTTAATAGTGATCAGATGCGATAATATATTTAAAAAATATAAATTTTATTAAAATAGACTTTAATTCAGAATTCTGATATTATATATTAAAATAATTTAAGTCTAACTCGAAACATAACTGATTTGATTTGTAAAATAAAATTTATTATTATATATATTTTTTAAATTGACTTTATTACTGATAAATATATAATTTTAAATATATATATATATATATATATATAAAACGAAAAGACAAGAAAAAACAAGATGGAGAAAAGCTCAGTTACGGATGAATTGAACAGAAGAAGGCGAACAGTATCTCTTGACTACAACCCATCAAAACTTGATTTTGGAAAAGCATTTGTTATCAACATTCCTAGAAGTTATGTTAATGGAGAAGTCACAAGTGGTATAAACAGTGGCTTTCAACTTCAAAATCTTGAACATATGAACTTTCCCTGGCAGTGCAGCTGTTGATGTGAAATTCAGCGATCCACTTAGAACATCATTCCAAAATTTGGTATCAGTGACCAACTTTTCTACCATGAAATTGGCCCACGTGTTCACAGCAATCTGGTCACGTGCTGGCACTAACTCTCCCTCTATCGGAACTTCACCCACAATGCTATCATCAAAATTCACATAACCAGTGGCTTTGGGGTATTCAAAGCTACCATAGTTTGGATTCTCCATAGTGATCACCATTCCCAGACTCACATTTGCAGTCAAATTGGTCAAAAGGGACAAGTTAAAGTTTTCAAGACCAACAGGTCGGACCGTGATGTTAGGATCCTTGGGTTTGAAAATTGTTAAAAATAAGGTTACAACGACAGCTGTAAGAATGATCAGGAATAAGAAAGACAAGACCAAGCAAATCTTGAGACCTTTGTTAGCCATGCTTTCTGATTCTGGCTGGATGAGAAAATTCAATTCAATTCTGAAAAGTTTGTGATTGTGTGTTGGATTATATAGTGAGTGGGTGACTATTTTATAGATATATAGATTGATTTGATTCAGGAGATTCTAAAATTTATTTTTTTTCTTGATTCAATTGGTACTTATCAAAACAAATACTGGAGTCAAAACATTTATACTTGTTTGAGAAAACCAACAAACAAATAAAATATTATACGTCATCTCAGTTTTTTGTTCCACAGTTCTCTAATTAGTTTATTTTCATTATTCCGTATTTGGTTGGTTACCACATACGTTTTGCAGGACCAGTACAAAATGAAGCATAATACAAAAATGCATTTATTCGACTATTAATGCAATACACAAATGGTGGACCGTTAACTTTGTACATTATACAGAATATGAGAGTTACTCATATCCTTGGCTGGACTGGATCACATGAATATAAGTTGAATTTAATATTTTAAAATTTATATTTAATTATTTAATTTATTAAATTTTTCGGATATGAATTATTTAAGTTATAAATTTATATTAAATCATTTTAAAAAAACTTGTATTACTTCAACCTTTCAATTTGATTCTCCAACCTCCAAACATCTGCCACCAACCACCGCCATATTATTATCCGTAAAATAATCAATAAATAAATTTTAATTTTTAATACTTTTCCTGTAAAATGTTATTAGCAAGATAAAGTTATATAATTGACATAAACATAAATACATGAATAGGTAATTATTATATCTCTTTTGAAAATAATTTTACATTAGAAACTTTACGTTAGAAACTTTACAAGTATTTCATGAAGAAAAGTTATCAGTATAAAATTTCTAAATATTTCTTGTTAAATAAATTTTATATGAAAAAAATCAATGAATCTCATGCTAGATTTTTTTTAAAGAAGAATATTGTAACATTTCAAAAATACAGTCTAAACTATATAATAGAATAATCACGTTGAATAATATACAGATCAGTCTTAAACTAACGTAGAGCGTACAGTTATGGCCTAACGGCCTTGCAGAAAGAGTAGAAATTTAAACCGATTGTCATAAGTAATTCAGACCGAACGGTTTACAAAAAAAACTATACTGAACGGTCAAACAAAACAGAAGGAAAAGGTGATCGAACGACCACCTTACGATAACTCGACTACTGACCGAACGTCCTACTCTTCGGTCTTAACTTCAATCTCAACTAGATTTTCTTCTTCCAACGCCTCTTCTAGCAGCTCGTCTCCTTCTGCTCACATCCACAACGGATGATCATTGCAATGACAAAGACGGACGTTCATAACATGACAAGACAGGAAACACAAGGTAAGCTTATGTAATTTAATTTATGTATAAACATACCTTTCACACAATCAAACACACAAAATATAGTTTTTTATATGTTTCATATAAAGCCTAATACTAGACTGACTGTCCGGACTGTATGAAATCTGTGTAGCTACGACGTTCGTGCACCCGGGTGATGTAGTAACTGGAATGTCTTCATCAGCTGCCACCCGAGGTTAGTCCTATCTGTCCAAAGTACCCCTAAGGACTAGGACCTCCTGCCGTTCCCACACATGACCTACCCTCCTCTACGTGAGGACGAGTACTCACGGAACATCAGGATGAACCGCCAGCTTAGCATAACCACATTCATACTTTACAAATTCCAATATTCATTCATGAGTCGTTCCTCCCCAAAACGCTCGTCCATAATCCACATATTTCATTCATATCATATTCTCTTCATCTTTCATTATCAATCATCTTAATTTCATCTTTCATTTTCCATAATCAACTTAATTTCATCTTTCATTATTAATCATCTTAATTTCATGTCATACTTGTTGAAATCTTTGGAAAATGCATGTGATTTATCTCTGATGTACAAAGTCATTCTATCAAAATGTCAAATGTCTTTTGTGTTGTGTTGTTCAGTTTCTTTCTGTGATTTCCTGAGGGCATGAAATAGTTCAAGTTGAGGGGAGTTGATAAGTGTGAAAAAGAGTTATTTTTAAACTTATAAATGATCTCAATCTTCTCATTTTTCATGTTATTACTCAGTGAAATATTGTAATAGGAAGTAGATTGTTTTGTAAATTATTGTACAGGAAAGATGTATTGGGAGTCTGTCAGCCAATTCTCACATAGCGCAAGACTCAATTCGCACTGCCAGAAAAAGCAAATTCGCATAGCGCACCAATACCTGTGCGCTTTGCGAATTACATTAGTTGAGAGGCAGCAGTTACACGAAATTCGCATAGCGCACACACACCGGTGCGCTGAGCGAATTATTGAAGTTATGTGGTTTTAAAAGACGTGACAGAAAGGCAGAAAGCATCTTCTGACACACGAAAATAGCCAGAGAAATACTGGAGAATTCAGGAGACGATCGGGAGACCTTTCAAGACATCAAGACTTCACTTTATGCAAGGAATTGCTGTAAAGAGTACGTTTGAGATGTCTAGGATAGGCTAAATTTTCTGTTCATTGGAATTGGTTGTATGACGAAACATTAATGTAAAATTCCTGTGCAATATACGTTTCTGTTCATGTTCTTTTCTTGACTTGCTTTTGATTATACGGAAGTATTAATCTCTTTAAAAGTTCTTTTGTACTGGAAAGTATTTTTAGAACTAGAAACGTAAGAAAAGAAACTAAGAGTAAATTACTCTAGGAATAGCTTCTGTGCTTTTGGTCATTCTCACATCTGAACTTAATGCAAAATTATCTGATGAATTAATTAAGGAATTAATAATTCAATAGATAATTTTAGAACTTGTTTTAAGGAATTGAACCAAGATACTCTCATGTGAATGCTTGAACAGAGAATATATGTTGTCCAGGATCTTACTGTAATGTTAGTCAAAGACCAATTCCAGTGATCTTTTATCGCAATTTTCAAATCTTATTTTTGTTTACGTTGTTAATTTCATGCTTAAATCCAAATTGAAATCACAAATATCATCAGTAATTGATCTTGATAAATAATTTTAATTGATTAACGTAACTCAAATTCCCTTGGGAGAACGATACATTTTTACTTATCCACTGTATTACTTGGAACGATTTGGTATACTTGCCAAAAAGTTAACAAGTTTTTGGCGCCGCTGCCGGGGAATTTGATTGTTATTGTTAACTCAGTCATTTATTGTTTATCAATTTCAATTCTGTTCAATTATCTGTAAATCCATTGTTTTAATTTTTGTATATCTGTATATATACGTTGTGTTTTATTTCTGTTGTTATTTCTTTGGGTTGATATCTTGAGATTTTTGTTCTCTGAATGAGTAGGAGAACAAAATCTGAAAATTTATTGTTTGAGCCGTAGGAATAACAGTAGACGTAGTAGAGAAAATAGAAAAAAAGAAGCTAGAGAAGCTAGCTTGTATGCTATCTTCAACACTTTTTCTTCATTTGATCAAAAGGATAAGGATGATCATCGCAAAGGAAAACATACACAAGCAACACACAACAAAGAAAGGCTTTTAACATTATGATTTAATTATCTAAGTTATTAAAACTGTCCTACAGTGTTCTAGACATCAAATACCCAATTATATATATCACCCTTCCCCTCACAGTAACCTTAAACAGTACCTGCCCATATACATGCTATCACAGAGCCCTTACTCCAAACCCTCTAACCAGAACAATTTCAACCAAAACAGATTAATTTCAACAGAAACACTTACAAACATAATTGCCACATGTACCAATTCAACACCAAAGCATAAATTATTTAAGCACAATTCCATAGTCTCATTTATAATTATCCAATAAAAATTAACATCATAAAACAACTTCACGTTAAACATTCAACCTGCATATATTTATATAAAATAAATTCGTACAAAAATAATTAGCTCCCCTTACTTGGAAAACTTTACAGTTTACTTGATAGGGATGATCTAAATAGTGCTGCTCACAGCAAAATACAAAGACACCCTATAAATCACCCAATGGTGATAGAATTAGCTTTTTAGGCTAGAAATCACCACAAATTTGAAGTAGAACACTTCTAGTGGCATGCATTCAGTAAAATAGCAATGCCCTAGGTGCTAGAAACGGTGGAGAAAAGGAGAAAGTGACTTACCGGTTGGAACAAGAACCCGTTCGGTTCGTTACAGAGCCCTTGACACGGTGATTGTTTAAGCACCACCTATTCAAAAATTGAACGGTTCAACATGGTGGTATTTTAGAGAGAAAGCAGAACAATATTTAGAAGAGGAGTTTTTAGAGAGAATGAAAAAGTTGGCAGAGTGGAAAACTGACTTAGGAGAAAGACCCCTACTAAGGTCATGTGTCTTTGATCTGATGGGTCTGGTTGCTCCACATAAGGCCCAAAGATCCCTTTATTAATTGTACAGGCCCTTACAATTATAGTTTAAATTTTTTATATTTTATAACGAATTTTATTTTTTTAACTTTTTATATCTTACGTTTTTTATATTTTAAAATTTTAATTTAGTTTTTATGATATTGTATTGTTCTAGTTAATATGATATTTTAGGTGAATGTTATTTATTAAAAGTATTAGAAAGACAAATATTTATTTTAAATAAATATTCATTTAAAGTTAGAAGGAATATAAAGTGCTATATATAGTATCTATTTTAAAATTTAAAAGAGAGGTAAAAAAATATGAATTTAAGTTCTGAACAAAGAAAATTCAATATGGAAATGTAAATTTTTTTCTGAATTTTTAATATATTTTAATCTTTGAACTTTAAAAATAATTATATATAATTATTCTAATTTAATTATATTAATTTTATTTTTACATGTCAAATATGTTTTCTACTGGATAAAAAACGAAAACACGTCAGTCAAACGAAATTCAAATGTTAATATGAAAATAATATATTTGACGAAACTTAAATATTAATATGAAAATATCAGTTAAAAGATACATTTAACATGATTAAAAAGCTATATATATTATTTTTTAAGTTTAAAAACTAAAATATATTAAAATTTTGT